GAGTGTTTTCACTTATTTTGGAACACAAAGTCGCAAAACTTACAAATGTGAAAATTTCGCACCAAAGCTGTGGCGTAATAAGTTTTTGGGGAGAGGTAACACTGCCCCTATGAGGAGTTCTCAAAATTCTACCTCAAACTAGAGAAAAATTATACATTTTGTATAAGACCGAATTCTCATATTATGTTAAATCAAGAAATACTTCATATATCACGTGGTTTAGCTACAAATTCCACCAATCGAAAAGAACAGTTTGCACATTCGATGAATCTGAAAGAAGCATTTGGGTCAAAGGATGGACCAAATCGGATACAATAGATTAATATGACAGCAATTACTGAGCATTTTATTGAAAATAACAGTCTTCCTAATTACCTGAGAGATAATTTTGAAAAAAATGATAGATTTTTCACAATTCATCACATGTCCATTGAGGTTAGCGGCAAAAACCTATTTTTTTTTTCTCTTTATAGGTTAGTAACAGGTCAGTCAAATGAGATATTTGATTTTTGGTCTTGCTGTAAAAATTCTGCTTAATAAATTCTTTGAAGACAAATAAACTTACAGAATGCTTATTCTTTAACGAATATCGAGAAAATATTCAATTTACGTGCGAAAAATCCTGTTTTTTTAGCTTTATCGTCAATACCTACGAGTCTAGCGCTAATTTTCCTGGCTATCGAAATACCGCTGGAGTCATCTATCGCCATCGTGAAAAGGATGATTAAAAATAGCGTCGTCGTTCCACTTCACTACTACTAAAATTAGTAAAATTTTCATTAGAGCCATATTCACTATTTTTCGTTGTCTGTCTCCAATTACTAGACCTATACCGTACTGATGATTGCTAAAAAGCTCGAAACAACGTTGTGTACGGTTGATTAAAGGAAAGCAGATATATCTTATTCATCCTGTAATAAGTTTTTCTATGCTCTGTCTTAGTATGTGACTCGGCTGCTACCGTTGAAGCTAGGCTTCCAGGTGTAAGGTGTCAAATTTATAATCATGTTTTAAGTGTATCCTGAAGAAAAATCAAATCCTGATTGCCGATTCCTTCAGTGGAAAATCTAAACGATTTGAATGAGTTCTCTTTCAGTCAGGGTTGCGACGATTTAAATCAAATGATTTAAATCATGGTTTAGTAATAATGTTTATTTTAATAAGAACAATTTGCTGGAGAGGCGAACAAAGATGTAAATGTAGATACAATAAACATAAAAGAAAACATTTCAGTTGTTTTAAATAACATGCTTTATGACCCAATGGACATTTTTAAACTACCTATCATGTAAATAAAGCCCGTTCAAACCAAATAGTTGATTGTGCACGGGCATTTAAATCAATTGCTTTTTCAATTTTTTTCGTGAATCAAATTACAAATTGCTATAAAAACAAATCGCCGGAGCGAATAACTGAAATGACTAATCAAGAAATTCAAAAAAGAAAGATTAGAAAACAAAGAGTTTTCTTAATACAAATCGAGACAACAAATATTTTTGGGCGAATAGAGGAAAATAAAGAAAATAAGTTATTTCAAAGTTAATTATTACCATGTTTAAGTAAAAAATCATGACAAATTCATAAAAAATGATATTTTGCGACAATGCTTTTTCTTATAAACGTGCAAAAAACGAGGATTGGCCTTAGAAATGGACGTAAACAATAAAATTTAGCTATATTTTTATAGTTTTACATTATCTCATCTGCAACTGCCTGCACTATAATTGGTATGGTATTTCTTACAAATCTCATTTTATATCTTACACTTTGCAAAAGCTGTGTGACGAAATCAAAGTAATGATTCTGCGAATATATAAAATGGAATTCCTTATTCTTACACATTCACCATCTAAAGTAAAGATTCCGACCATAATGATATTTAATGGAATGACTATATATGACTCATACAATGAGGTCACTTACTGTATATAGCAAATAGGCTTTAGTGCAACAATTCCAATATGATTGAATGTCGGATTATGATATGAATAATCATAGATGCACATATTGGTTAAAACACAAAAACATTCGCTGCGGTGATTACGACATGATCTGTACAAATCAGGAATATAATGTTTTCATGAATTTTTCTTTGTTACCCATACTTGGATATAATGTGGGCCACAGAATATTATGTCTCTCGAATACATGTAACACTAAAGCCTGGTGTGACAAGTTCACATAAACAATGCTCTACGAGTTCGCATGGTCCAATATACAGATGCAAGACGTTAATGGAGATTTACTCCTCAAAACTTTCGAATGACAATGTACAATTCAAAGAACTTAGACCGAATTATAACCAATCAGTCGGACGCATAGAAGTTATAAATTCTTGATTCAACGATCAAAACTGCATATACGATATACGAAATGATTAACTAAGTACGACCTGGCCTTAACGCAATATGGGCGAAACAAGAATGAAGTCTATTCAATCTGAACAGGGTTAATGACGTGAAGTAAAACATTTCTCAGGCTATTGGTGAAATTGAGCCGCATTTGTGCCAAGCGGTAACTTCGACAATCTCATAATATAAACACACATATTTTCAAAAATTGTCAGCAACAAAATCCGGAGGACACCTTGAAACACCCTTTAAGTACCTCAAGGATTGTTTATAAGAGTATTTCAGTTAAATAAAAACTGCCAAGTTTTGAAAACTACTTCATTATGACCGCAAACACACTTCACTTTACTGGCCTGAAGAATCTTTACAGTGCGCTTTGTGCTGGGCTGACCAAATACGCGATTCTGGAATAGTTTCCTTTAAAATGTAAACAAAGCTAGCGCTTAAGGATAGTGAAGAAGGGCTTGATACATCACGTGTAGATATGTTTCGCTCAAAAAACTGCTGAAATGTTTGATTTTCGGAACAGGGTATGTTAATTATTTTATTAAATTTTCAACGTGTATATTCCATTTTAGATAGTATTCTATGAATACCCATAAATATTTGAAATTATCTACTGATTGTATGTTTTTGCAGCTATTAAACGTTTTAATTTGAAGTTGATTAAAATTTGGGAAAGATCTATTGTCGCAAGAAAATGAAGAAAATATTTTTTGTTGAAACCCTTTCCGTGAAAAAATGTGTAAACTTTTGAAAATCTAATACAATTTTGTTTGAATCTTTATCTGAATAAATAATTGACATATCGTCTCCGAAACGAATAATTCCTCCATTGTTTTTTCACATAAACAGAACATTAATGTACAAATTAAACAGGCTTGGCCCTAATACGGTTCCTTGTGGAACTCCGCATCTATCTGCCATATTTTCACTTAATGTACTGTTATTGTTCACACATTGTTTCTGGTCTTACAAATAACTTCTCATGAGTGGATTAAAAGAGGCTCCACAAAATCCTTACATAGGAGTTTTTAATAATTTTTGATGAGTAATGCTATCGAATGCTTTGGGCAAGTCTACAAGAAGGCATGATGTTGTTAGCTTACTACTATCAACGTACTTGTAAATTTTGATTACCTGAATAAGTGACTTTGCTTCCTAGAATCCGTATTGCTGTTAAGCTATGAGGTTATACATAGTCGTGCCATAAGTTCTGTCCCATGATAATCTCATGATAAAAATGAAACAAGATAAGATATATTTATATGAAAGATATTATTTATTCGACAACATTTTTAGAATTCATAATCAAACAGTTTTATTCAAAATGTCCCCCCTTGGCCTTCACACACTGCTTCAATCTCGCGGGCCACTCATCTATCACTGCACGCACAGCTTCCAAAGGAATAGCTGCCGCTGATCGGATCAAATCCGCTTTCAGGGACTCGATATTACGGTGGGCTTTGGAGCAGGCCAACTGCTCTAGCAGGTCCCACAACTTGTAGTCTAAAGGATTGAGGTCCGGACTCCCTGAGGGCCAATCTTCCGCAGCAATGAACTCTGGCACATTGCTTTCCAGCCAGCGCTGCGTACTCTTAGCCTTGTGAGCGGGGGCGGAATCCTGCTGGTAGACCCAGTGTTGGTTGGCAAACAATGTACCACTTAAAGGCTTGACGATAGGATCCAGTATGTCGCTCTGATAGTTTGCCGCTTTTGTTTTCACGCCCTGTTTACAGAAATGGAGCTGAGTGACCCCTTCGTAGGACACCCCCCACCAAACCATGACTGACGCAGGGTGGTGGCCTCTCTCAACTCTCGGAATGATCTCCGAAGCTTCCTGTGAACTCCTTGCATACACTTTGTCATTTTGTCGGTTGAATTTTTCTTCTATGGTGAAGATTTTCTCATCCGTGAACAAAATCTTTCGGAATCCCCCAGCTGCGTACCTCTCCAAGAGCTTCTTGGATCTTGTCGCCCTGATGTGTCGCAAGGTGGCCGTAAGTCGCTGGCCCGTACGTCTCCGGTAAGCCCCTAGCCCTAGGTCTTGTTTAATGATGCGCGACATCGTCCGGACAGGAATCTTCATTTCCCTGGATAGGATCTTCTGCTTCCGGAGTGGATTCCTTTGAATCCTGGCTTTTACGGCTTTGATGGCTGCTGGAGTCCTTACTTGACGAGGTCTTCCGCTTCTTGGCCTGTCATCAACAGAGGACGTCTCATTGTACCGCTGAATGGTCCTAGACACAAATTTACGCGATATTTGAAGGCCGCGTAAGAGTTCAAAAATCTGACTAGCACTGTGATTACACTTATGTAAAGCTATCACTGCAATACGGTTCTCTGCCTTGCCCCACTCCATCGTTATGCTTCGAGAGATCAATACAAACTGAGGTATATGTAATTACCCGAAAAGCGCTTAATCAACTGACACCACAATGTAAACAATCGGACAAGTATTAACAGGTCTACACTTGTTTGAAAACGAGGGACAGAACTTATGGCATGACTACGTATATTGCAATAAAATTTGAAAATCTGTTTTGTTCGAATATTTTTGAAAAGTTTGTTAATACTGAAGTTGGACGATAATTACAAGGTTTCTGTTCATTTGCCGATTTAAATACGGGTTTTATTATTGCTTTTTTAATTGGGTCGGTAATATGAAATCTTAATGTTGTCTATTGTTCCAGGTACCCCATCCACATCAAGCCACCAAGCAGGCACAGCGGTCAAATATCCGTTACTAGTCATCAGGATGATAGGGAAATGATCCGGCGGCACGTTGCGGACGATGTCGGTTCCGGTTCCGGGACCCACCACCGAGGGCTGAGCGACTCGCCGGCATCGGTGCGACGACCTTTACCCCCACCCTTACCACCACCGTCTTCATTGCTACCATCCAATATGGACGCTACTGTCGTTTCAACTGATACGGTAAGAATTTAGAAAGATATTGATTGTTGAGAGTATCCTTTTCAGAAACGACTACGATTGAAATAACAAAGCTAATGCATGACGAAACATTAGCGAAAAAAGAAACAAATATTGAAGACAGTAATCACCGTTCATTTCATGTTCCGCGGTGCAGGATGCAGCAGCATCTTAAAGACACAATGTCGTAAGCTAATGTCTGTATATTCCTTGTTTCGAATCCTATATAAAAACAAACAGTTTGGTTTACCTATTCGGCGTATTGAATACTGGCATGCCTGGTATCATTTCAGTTTATCGTTCACATGAGGGAGAATCGCATTTGGTGGTATTATTGAAATGTAATCTCGATTTAAAAATCACTAACTTATCTGCTCTAATATCAAGTTTCACGATGTTTTCAGAATAGGGACGCTAAACCTTTTCATATTAATATTTTAGGATTTTACCCCAAATATTCACCCTGAATATCTCCAAAACGAGTGATCTGACAAAAATTTCTCAAGTGCCAAAACTTATGGAAAATGAATTGTATTTTATAAAATGCACTTTTCTCCGATAAGGCCAGTGGTGTAGAAAATATTTCCTAATAGGTGTCCACGTAGCTACGTCGCTGGTTTAGTTTCTGCCAGGAAATTCTGCGTTTATTGCTTATGATTTGTTCAGTTTGACAGTCTAAAATTCTAATTCAATATCTCTATGCTCTCCGTAGATAAAATCTATTTTCAATTTCGTAAATGAAACTTCATCACCCTGTATTTGGGTAGCGGAGCCTCTTTAGACCCATATTCATAGGATTTTTGTTATTATTTTTGGATTCACACTCTACAAATATTGGTACGTCTTTCTCAAACACCCTGTATAAAAATACTTCTGGAATCTGAGATTATAAGGTTTGCATCGATCTACTAAGCTTCATATACAGGGTGTTCATTTGTGACTTCCCACCACGGATCTATCGAAAACCACTGATGCGAAGAAAAAACGCTAAGAAACGTCAAAAGATGTGTCAAATGGGACAACTTTTTAACCAAAAACTACTTCACCCCCTTTGACCCTCGACCCCCCAGGGTAATCCCCTTAAAAATTTTAAATGACAAGAGGTATCTAGTAATAGCTTGTTTGAAACGTCTTTTGAAGTTTGATTTTTTTTAATCAGTCGATTCGTTTTCGAGAAAATTAAAAAAAAACTTTATTTATCTTAATTTGATCAGATAGAAAAAAACACGAAAATATCACTTTTTATTTCAATAAATGTTCAAAACGTTGCCCGTTAGGGTTTGCCAAATCTACAATTCGTTTATAATTTAAAACAGAAACTACCAATACAAACAGCAATTCGGAAGATTAGGATTGGCAACAACCAAATAACAACCCGAATTTTTTTCCGTTTTCTTTTCAGGAACACAGATATCCTGGGCGAACTGTATTTATATTGTTATACCTGTTGGGTTATTTGTTCCTAAGGGGAAGAAAGAATTCAACTTGCTGTCAGTTATCGTTGTGACAATCTTGGGATAGTGAAAACTAATTTATTGATTCAGATTTTACTTCCAAAATGGTTTACACATTAGCCGAAAGAGCGGAAATGATTCTAATGTATGGTGCCCAAAATCAATGTGCTCGGCAAACTGCCGTCACGGTTCCGGGGAAGGTAACTACGCAAAGGTATGTTTTGGATCTTGTTACTAAATTTACTCAAACTGGATCTGCAAATAAAAACGTGATCATCGGAGAGTTTTGGATGAAGCCCCTGAAGTTGAAGTTTTTGGTATATATAACGGGCAACATTTTGAACACTGACTTAAATTAAAAGTGATAGTTTCGTGTGTTTTTGTTTTCTATCTAAACAAATTCAGATAAATAAAGGTTTAACTAATTTTCTTGAAAACGAATCAACCGATTTTGAAAAATCAAACGTCAAAATAAAGGACTTCGAAAGACCTCTCAAACAAGCTATTACTCGATATCCCTTGCATTTTGAAATTTTTAAGGGGTTGACCCGGGGGGGCAGAGGGTGAAAGGGGGTGAAGTAGTTTTTGGTTAAAAAGTAGTTTTACCACAGTTCTAATTTATGTATTTATTTTCAGATTTGCCCTGTGCTGGTCACATCGGCCACTGTAGAGGGCAGCCCACCTTCCACCACCTGTACAACCCGCGATCGGAAGTCCGCTCGCATCTCAGAAGATGGCTCTAACCGATGGCGGACTGGAGGAAGACGAAGCGGGTTGATAGACGAAGAAGTTGCTGTCATACTCAAAAGTGATATCTGTGATTGTTCTCATTGTGAAGAAGACTGCCGCATTCGCATCTTTACTAGTTATCTTAATCTAATCCTAGGATGTATATTGAAAATATTTATGTGCCTATGTAAAAGTAATCGGTCAATTTTGAGTAGGAGATACTCGAGTACAGGTCACGCCACTTTACTTCTTGCCGCTCTGTTGCTGTCAACGACGCGAGTTCACGGGTTTGCCAACGAGTTTGACAAGACGGAACAATTCTTGGATAAAATTAACCTGGAACAGAGCATCGCGGCTGTCTTTAACAAGGTAGCCTACGGTAGTACCACCAAACGATCCATACCGGATAACGCGTATCCGGTGACAACGCTGGCAACGCCGCTTTTGACTACCTACCGATATTCGGACGGCAACGATGAATGGCTGAGGGTGGATCTGAAAAACGACGAGACGAATAGAGAAAATGCGAGGGTGAACGTGGATTTTGAACAGCCCGAGTTTGAAAGTGAGAATAATAGAAGGGACTTGGATAGCGGGTACGGTGCAGACTTGGAAAAGGATCATGCTCTGCCCACTTCGGCCCCCGCAGCGGATATACTCAAAAATAACAACAACAAGAACTACAACAACCCCAATAGGTATAACAATGATCGGTTAAAGCCTGATTTTAGTGGTAACAACCCGGAACACGTTACTGAGACCGTTTACAAGACAACCACATCGTATAACCTTCTTAGGAACATACGACCGACGAAGTCGATGTACGGCAAAGAACCTCCGAGTTACGTACCTCCCAGCAGGGCTTTATTCACCCCTCCTCTACCGCCTGAGTACCAAAACCCTTTCGCGGACAAACCGACATTGAGAGGTACGAATTCCGATGGATTCGCTAACCGAAGGCCTATACCACCACCTAGCTTGATGCCTGCCAAAAACCTAATTCCTTATAGACCAGATTTGCCTAAAGTCAACATTGAGAAAATACCAGAAAAGCCTAATGATCAACATCGCACTCCGAATCCGGCGCATACACACCAAGACGGCAAAACGGAGAAGAAAAAATCTCTGAACACACCATCGCAGAACGCCAGAGCCGGAGAGTTCTATGGATTGAATAGAAATGTTAACGAGAGTAATTTCGAGTATGAAAAGACGTACGTACCGTCAATTACTCGCATATTGAGCGGTTCTAACGGCAGGCATGACGATATCCCGGATATATTGCTGAGAACTGTAACTGCAACGCCAAATGTCCAGCAACGATTCGAACCAAAAGTCCCAAAAGTCAGGACTCCGGCTGCTGAGCCGAGTTTGAAAAAGCAAGAACCCGAGGAAATCAAACCGAAATTAGAGATTCCAAAAAACGAGAATGGCAACAAGAAGGAGGTAATGCAAGAGCCGCGTCCCCCTGATAGAACTGAAAGGGTAACTGTCAAAAAAGATAATTCGATTTCGGATAAGAAAAATGGTGTCGAGGATGTAACCACGCAAATTTCGGACGTATTGAATCTGCCTAACGTGAAAGAAAAAGATATGAACAAGGAAATAAACGTAACAATGGCCAAGTCTGACGAGATATGGCTTATCTGTTGGAACGTACACGTGTATCTGGTGGTGTTCGGTTATATTCTCCTAGCTGTATTCTCGATCTATAAATTAATTAGATATGAAAATGACCCGCATATGTTCTCAAAGAGTTACTTCCTCACAATTCATTTGATGCTGACTGTGATCTGTATACTGCGTATATTTTACCTCATTTACGATCCATATAATTTATATAACTCTTTTAATGTGTTCCTGTACGATTTTTTGCATAATTTTCCTTTGAGCTTGCTGGCGACGACATTCGCTGTTCTAATTTTGTTCTTGTTAAAGAGGACATTGACACATTTAGAAGTGAAAACCAGACCGGTATTCCTTGTCGTTTTCGCTCTACTTCACATAGCTTTATGCTTCTGCCTGAGCATAGTCGAATCTCTAGGTCATCTGGACAAAGCAAGCTTGACCATATGCAAACCAGTGTTTGTCCTACTAGCCTGGGCGTTAGGTTTCAGCTACTTATACCTTTATAGAATCATTAAGAATGTTCTGGCTAAGAAGAGCCAGAATTTGTCTGAAATGTGCACTCAAAATATATCGTATGCTAGTCATATTACTATAGCAGTAGCTTTACTTTTCGTGCTACTGGGACTTGTTCAACTATACGCTTTGTTCTTTATTAAAATTGACAGGTTTAGCAAGGAGATTAAACACCACTGGATATTGTGGGGTTTCGAGTTGTCCGTAAGGTTTATCGAAATATCTATTATAACGTTGTTAGCTATTGTTGTAAGCTTAAAAATGTCCCAAAGGGAAAAGCAATCCGCAGGTGGTTTTCCCTTATTCCCTTGTACTACCAGTGATTCTAGTACAGATAATATCTATCCGAACAATTGTAATACGAATCCAAACGCGTTGAACTACAGCAGGCAGGAAATGGTATTAGATAATATACCTACTGAACCTGTAGAAAGGCCTAACCTCCTGAAAAACGCCTTCCAAAACGACTCTTTTGACAAGAAGTCAACGTTGGAAAGGTATCAGAGCGATAGCGAAAGAGGAAGTAACTTTGACAGATTCGAAAGACCAAAATGGGGCTCTGACAGGTTCGATCCACGCCAAAATGTCGATGGTTCCAGCTTAACTAATTTCATACAACCAAACTCTGGAAATTTCGAAAGAGGTGCTTACAATTCGGTACAAAATTCTCTCAGAAACGAACGGTCATCAGCTAGAAAAGCTGCGTATGACTCTGCTAAATACTACACCAAACCCAAGTATGACCTAGAATATAGTAACGAAGACTACCAGCATGACATGTTCGCTGGTAACAACACCGAGAGGAATATCTACAGCGAGCCTGTAGATAACCCGAATGGGCATCAGTACGAAAGGACGAGACACGAATTCGAACGGTCAGATTTTGACAGACGTTCGAGGAACAGCTCAAACACCTCAGGTCGCAGGTCGACTGGCAGGGCCAGGAAAAACCATCCCAGGCCTCATTTGGGAGTCCAAACGCTGCCTAATCATGAGAGACACCCGGTTAACGACTCGATGCTGGTTGACGAGCAAGGTTTTGTCAGGTTCAGGCACATGCAGGAAGAAATGGAGCGCGATAAGCCTAAGAAAATGAAGCGTCAGATGAGTGACCAGAATCACTATAGTGATGCGTAACTGTACGTTAGAGCTAAAGAAAAACGCACAGATGGTGAGGTATTTTTGTAAAACGTCAAGATAGAGTACAGGGATATTATAGTAGTAGCCAATGCGATTGAACGACTTTATTGGAACAGAAAGGATGTTACTTTCATAATCGAATACTGCATCGATATTATAGAAATAGTGTAGTTATATCTTAGATATTAATGCCCATTTTGATGTTCTAAATTTTGATCGATTTTTTTTCGCACCAATCATCCCTTTTCTAATTATACCAGACTAGCCTTAATTTTAAAATTTTACTGGCGTGTATTATGTATTTTTATACATATACACGAAGTTGTATAGCTTCCCTATGAAATCGCCTTTCCATCAGTTCAGTGAAATATGAACTCATTTCACATTAAGTACTTTCTTACCAATCTACGAGAAACCCGTATTAAATTGATTGGAAAAGTTTTCATTTGGTAAGTTGTCGTTCATAATTTTGATATTAAATTACTTCATATCTCTTTTCAACCAAACTTTTTTGATATTAATGGTTCACTTGATCGCATTGGTATACAATTAGTAGAATTATCTTCTGAAATGGGAGTATTGTATCTGTTTAGATATAATTAGTCCTATAATAAAGCAGGCACAAGTCACTAATAAGGGTTATCGACAAAATCAGCAGACATGTCACACGATAAGTATTCTGTAATCCGTCATTTTTTTTCATCGAATACGATATTTTTCGACCGTGTAGCCTGAACGTCAGTAATTATTGATAAGATTACGTAGACGTTGTATGCTATTTTTCGGATGAGTGTATCTGCAAGAGCGAATATGCTTAGCACACAACAACTTCAGAAATAGGAATAGGAAAAATGAACGGCTGCGGGATTCGAACCCGCAACTCCTCCATTCCATGGAGCCGACCTAACCACTTGAACGTCGCCAGATAAGGCACCAAGGAGAGAACAAGAAGCAGTGGCGAGGGAAGGATTTAATGTTTGTCTCTAACAGTCCTGGAAGTTGGTTGACAGCAGGGTTATGTTTTAATCAAAACGTTTAAAACAAGTGTCTTGAACACTGTTTAAAACAATGAAGGTGTTTTAAACCAATTTGTTTTAAACAGTTTAAAACATGTTTTAAACACTGTTTATTTGTCGTTTGTGAATTATTCAAGTTTTAAAAATTTTTTTAAGTATGATTAAAATTGATTTTATTTTGCAAAACGAAACTAAAAGGGCCATAGGTTAAAACACATAGGTACTCAAAAAGATACTTTATTTTTTATTAATTAATCAAACATGAAACTAGGGACCTAATACTAGTGCAAAAAAATGTTTCTTAACGAACGAGTGAACTTAATATTGAACTCTAATACTAGTACACTACAAGTAGCAGAGTAATCATATAATATGACTATGTATTCACTTGTATAATAACATTAAATAAGTTACTTAACAAATTTCTATAAAAGTACACAACCCATCTTATTTAACAAAAAAATCCTTAAAACCATATTTTTAAAATTTGAAATCATGGAAAATGTACATAGAATACATTTTTAGTTTTAACTACTTTTTACAGAACTCCAAGTAAAAAAATGTATCTTTTTCACAATTCTCCAAGCTGCTCAACTTTGAGAAAATAGGTTCGGTAGAAATATTTTGCTCTTTTATTTTCGAGCCAGCATTGGCATCAGTCTCCTTAAAATATTTCCATGCGAAATCCTTTCTCCTCCATGTCCTTGCCTTTCTTTTTTGCTGATCTTTAATGCACAAAAAACAAAACACACCACCACGCTAAACACCTTCCCCGACGTCCGCACGGTAGTTTCCCGACATCCACTTTTAAATTAGAGATGTGCTCTGATAGAGCTGGATCAAAAATAGTAATAACACTTTCAAGGAACTTCATTAACGTTGCTAGATTATATAGGCAATAGTTCTTTAATTTTTTTTACCAATTTAAACTTTTTTTCAGCTAAATTTGAATGTTTTAAACAAAAAAAACTTTTTTTTAACATGTTCTTTTTCAACCCTGATTGACAGCTGGTGCGGTAGACTAATTGATTTGGTCGGCTCCGCGGAAAGGCGGATATGCGGGTGCGCCCATTTTCCCTTTCACTTAGGTTGTTGTTTACTAAACATTCTCGCTGTTACCGTTACAGTTGTGATACCGTGGTGTGTGCCCTCAAGACGGCGTGGTGCAACTAGAAAGCGATTGGAAATACATGACCAATCCGGTTTGTTTCGCTTTAACTCCGCCAAATGGCAGCTTTAGAAGGAACAGTGGCGTGGGTAGGATTGAATCAGTCGATCCTGAAGGTTGTTTGGCAGCTGATGCTGTTGACTAATTGGTCAGGTCGGTTTCATGGAATCGAGGAGATGCAGGTTCAAATCCCGCCGGATCACATTTTTCCTATCTCTCAAAATGTGTAAATTACGTAGAAGTCTACTGACACTGACGGGATCGTCAGTAAATACTGATGGATTACAGGAAATTCTGATCGTATGTCGTTCGCCTTCGATAATAATTGACGACTCCAATGCTAGGAGCGGTTGAGTTCAGTTTTTAACTGATCTAAGTTATCCACATGTTCATACATAGTTTCAGTTTCGTCCAATGGAAAAACACTTTATCATGATATGATCAAGGCTGAACTCCATGTCCGTGCCTTGTGCTTGGTTTTCCGTACAACTTCATAACATCGCCTGTACTTAAATTTACGCAAGTACATTAATAATGTAGGAGAAAAAATATCATTTTCTGTGTGTTTGTTTCTTTAGCTCGTTGACCATTTCTACGGAACGAGTCAAAATTATATTTTGGCCTAATGTTTGAAGCCTTTGTAGTGTAAGCAAAAATAAGCCAAAATTAGAATTTTAAACCTAAATGATGACGGTTTACGAAAACGCTAAGCATTGATCAATGTTCTGTTTTGACTTGTTTAAGAAGGTGATAAAAGATATTTAATACTCTTGCATTTCAATGTTGAAATTGAAATATGGAAAATAACACTAATTGTTAGAAATAGTATATCGTAAATTATATTTAAAAGAATATACTTTAAACTTGTAGTGAAACACATGTATATTGCAAATTTTGTACATAGATAATGTTAAGAACTATAATTTTAATTTTTATAATGATTTTATACATAATTTATACAATACAGGGTGTCCATTAAAACAAAATGACGGCAGCTGAATAGGTTATAAATTATGATCCTAGTTCAAAAAAAAGTTGAAAGATATGCAAAAACAAAACCCGATGTAACATTCTGTAGTACCCTGTATATATATTTTTATTTATAGAAAATGACTGAATTTGTGTATTTATTGTGGAAGTAATTCGGGCAAAATTACAAAATTTATTAACCGTCCTGAATCATGAAAGAATAGTCTTTGGAACAGTTTACTCAACTGTATCTTTTGTTGACTTCTTAAATGGCATGTTGTATGTCTGGAAAAATGTTGCAGTAATTAGAGACTACCCTTAAATAGTAAATAGATGTTATTTACAACGTGTACATTCATACCTCAGTTAAAGCTAACCATACACGCAACACTAGCAGGTCTTGTTCATGAATGCTGACTTGTGTATGATCGACTTGAACTGAGGTAAAAATGGCACTATATAGTTCGAATATCATGTTTGATCTTTTCTTGTAATGATCACTGCCCTAATGGTTTTTTTTATAATATTCTAACTGGGAGATTATCACAACTTTTGAATGATCTTCACTAGTTTTAGCAAGACTTCTAGAGAACTGAATAGCATAAGACAAATGTTTTATCAACTATTACTTTATGTATAAGGCTGTGTAGTGACGTGGTGAGTATGAGTTACAAGCGAGATTTTTGCCAGACATACCTTTTAATGTACATGTTCTTTTTTGTAAATATGTATTAATATTTGCCAATCGTTGAACACTTGCCATTTTATATTTACTGCGTTTTATAGAGATTACGGACTTTATTTTTGTATATTTTTTACAGTATTATTCATTTTTACAGTATTTATTACATCGACTTGTGCAAGTACGTTTTTTTTTGTTTCGTTTTCTTACGCTTCAGATAAATTTCAACTCAACTGCTTAATTTGACCATATCCAAATCTATTGTTTTTTACATTCCCCGTTTTATATGGTGTTAAATGTTTTTATCATATTTGTTCCTGTGCAACGTACTTATGAAACGGCTTTTTCAGATTATTGTTTTTTGCCAGTATTTTCCCGAAAGCTCTATTTGTGTAGTTTAGAAAAATGACGTTTCATTTTTGGATGTCTCACAAAAGATGTTGTTTTTAATATATACGCAAGAATATAGCGATTTTTAAAAACATTTTAATTGTATATATGACAGTTTTCAAATTTTTTAAAAGTCGCAATGTTAGAGTTAACGTGTATTATATAATTGTACAATATAAAGAAATCATACATATGTTGTTTCAGTTGCCTTATCCCATTTTCAGTAATACTATAACATCGCCGACAACTTAACAGAACGTGTCTATCGTCACTGACAGGCCCTTACAAGTTGATGATCATTGGCCCGCATTTACATCATAGGTAGTCAAGCGATAGCTTGCTAGACATGGGTTCTGAACAATATTTATGCACAGAGCTATGGAGCTATAAGTAGCGATCCAAGAGCTTGACTACCTACGTTGTAAACGTAGGAACTATGAAACTATGGAACAAAGTAGAAACATATGAAGGGCACAGGGGAAAAAGATTAATGTCACAAATTTGGTGTTTTGTAGTTAGAACCGGCAACATGTTGTCTTAACGCAGTAGAATCCTACGAGGTATCGAAAACACGCAAAAACAATGACAGTTCGTAGTTATACCCAATTGAAAACTTGACGTGTAGGAAAAAAATGAATGTCAGCCGTTGTATTAAAAAAGATTAATGTCACAGCCGTCGTATTAAAAAAATATGAACGTCCACTGATTGTCAACGAAACAATTTAACCATACACGAATCTGCGACGAAAGAAATAAACGTTAAGTAATCATGTTTAAGAAGCTACCATTAATTTTGTTTATTTGATCTATATTCTTTTGATTAAAGATTTTTTGGTTCATTGTTTTTTCCTGTCCCAATTAAAAAAATACTTAGAAATAATTGAAGAGACGAGTTTTTTCTGTATGGATACTGTGTACCTATTTTTCACATAACTCCATCAAAATTCTGAGATCCATAACAGAAGTCTAGAGTTTTTAATGGATGAACGAGTTATGTTACATTATTTTCCACTAAAGAGTAGAAGGAGTTAGAGGCACAAAATCCTTCAACCACAATATATGTAATATTTTGTATACCTTAAGTCGTATTAATAATGGTGTTAGCTGACACACATAACATCCACTCACTGGCCATTTTGTTTTACTTCTTTAGTCGGTATTGTGCAGGCGTGTTCTATGTTATTATTTTACAGTAATATTAATGGAAGTTAACATTCAAAATAGGTTCCAGGGGTAAACAAATGTTAAAGCTAGTGCAGGCACAAAAAACCTGTGAAGACATAATATGTCAGTTACCAATACAAAATAAGTTATTTTTGATCCTCCACACCTATCATGCTGCTCAGAAAAAAATGACCAAGACGAAAGTTGCAGTATTAAATTTTGTGTGGACTGTGCTAACACTACAAAGAACCTTCATCTATGGAATGGTAGCCCAACTGAACGAACTGTTTTTTTGTCTATTTGAAAATGCACAGAATTAGCTTAAAATCGTTTAAGAAATGCATAGGGATGGATATATTTTTGATTCGGCTACTCTCCAATAGATGGCGCTGCATATCGGTAACCACCATAAAGTCCACCGTTTTGATTGACTGACTTGGGCTGCCGAAATCCGTTCAGCAAGTCCCAATGCACGCAACAAAGCCAAATCAATACGTAATATTAGATATAGCAAACTAATCCAAACAAAATAATCTTCAGAAAATGGGGGATTTTTTAAGACCCCTCATGGAAATTTGGGATTCTTGATCTTTGAAGGTGCGTTGCCATAGAGAAAAGAGCATATCTCCAAGAACAGCTTAAGTATGTAAAACCAGAATATCGATACTTCTGTGAATCAATCTTAGAAACAAAATAATTTGTCATTAAACTGTTTTACCTTATATTAAGCAAAAATAATTTGTTGTTTTTTCACGTTCTGTTAGCTGGTTAGATATGATTTTCTTTAATACAGCATTCTTCCATAAAAGCTTTGTTTTAGTTCATATAGACTTTTGCAGTGGTTTTTTCAAATTTTGTAGACAATATTTTTTTGTTGATAATTTTATCCGTAAATAAAATAGTCCATGTATTAGTAACGAAAACGAGAAGTTTCTATCTAATAAAAGTACATGTAAGAAAAGTTTGCAATGAAAAACTTCAAATCTAGTTTTCTCGAAACCTGAATTTTTCCACTCTTGTCTTCAAATCTGTATTTGATCTATTGAGATTACAAATTTTCTTATGTTCTATGCCCTATGTAATAAATTTCATGTTAAGGGATAACAGATCGTAAAACTTAAGATAGGCATTTTGCTGATTAATCAACCCTTAGATCTTACAGGGTGTCGCATATGACGAAATGCTCATTTCTAGCCTCAATGTCTCAGAAAACTTGAATTCAGGCATGAACGGTAACTCATAAAAAATTATAATTAAAATAGAAAGATAACAGGGATTTTCCATTAAAAAGTATTTGATCTGGTTTCACTTTGGGCTACACTGTATATAAGAAAATATTTTTTTATATATAATTTTAATTTTTTACCCATCCTGTACAAAGAGTCTAGGAGTCTTCAAACTTTAAATTCACTTTTCTCTAAACTTACTTTTTATGGCATTCATATTTTTTCCCCTATACCCTTTATAATATGCATTAAATGTATGTATAATATCTTCAGTGAATGTTTTTCAAATTACAGCTCAAAAATCGTAATTCGTGTTCAATATCTGGCAATATCGCTAATTCCCGCCCGCATTTGTTTGCCTTGCATTCTCTCGCTGGGCAGATAATACAAAACGGCTAATCACCCGTCTTGACAAAAGTCTAAAATCTATTTAAGATTGAGTATAAAGCACGGATATATCCTGTTAAGAGCCGTAAACACCTATTAAAAGGTAGTTGGAATAGTAGTTAATAGATAATTACCAAATTGCTGGCTGCACTTCACATCGAAAAGGTGAGTCTCACAGATAGACAATGATTTGGAAGAAAGGAATTTAAAGTGGTAGGGAATTTTATGGTTTGTCTTAGGTTTACGATGCTTAAAAAGCCATTAAGATTAGCGACTTGCTTGATGGAAGCCAGAATAGCGGCGTGGTTGGATGGAAGAACAGATTTTACGACTCGCCTGCCTACCTACACTTTCATTGTTTGTATGGGTAATTTTTAATCCGCGAACTACATAATGATATAATAAATTAACGATTGCAGGTAGTCTACCGTTCAACCATCCATTGTTCAAAACCCTTTATTATGCCACTGGCAAAAAGGTATTGTAATCTCGTAAACTTTCGAAAATTATATTATGATTTTTGGTTTCATGACATGACATGTACGTCATGAAAAAATATTTTACTCATTTCCCCTCTATAACTTTGAACGTACTGCCTGGATTTGGTGAATTTTAACGTGAGGACATACAACGAATAAAAAAAGCTTTTGATCAAATTCAGAAAAAAAATTGTAGAGATTAAAAACTGGAAAGGGGGAAATTTCTATTTATGGCATTAGTATATTCATATCCTCCCATCCTCTTAAAACTTGGAATGATAGAGACATAACGGGTGATTTTTTAAGAGGTATAGGATTTGATTTTCAAAAAAACAAAAATTTGAAAAAACGATTAAATCTTTATTTGAGTCGATAGAACTGTCGATATAATTTAATATTTAAAGATTATTTCATGTAAATGTTGGCCGCGGCTCCGCATTAGATGACCCATGCGCAAGGTCCAATTTTGGCACACTCTCTCCAACATATCGGCCGGTATCTCACGAATAAATGCTCCAATATTGGCTTCCAGTGCGTCAATCGTTGCTGGTTTATCCCTGTAGACATTAGCCTTAACGTGGCCCGACAAGAAATAGTCCAACGGCGTTAAATCACACGATCTAGGCGGCCAATTGACGGGCCCCAAACGTGAGATAAATTGTTAACCGAACTCGCCTCTCAATAGGGCCATTGTTTCGTGTGCGGTGTGGCATGTGGCACCGTGTTGTTGAAACCACATGTCAGCCAAGTCCAGCTCTTCCATTTTGGGCAAAAAAAAGTTTGTTATCATCGTACGGTAGCGCTCGCCATTCACAGTTACGTTCCTGCCATTGTCGTCTTTGAGAAGTACGGCCCGATGATGCCACCGGCCCATAATCCACACCAAACAGTGATTTTTTCGGGATGCATTGGTAGCTCTTGCAATGCTTCTGGCTGGTCTTCACTCCAGATGCGGCAATTTTGCTTCTTAACGTACCCATTCAACCAGAAATGAGCTTCGTCGCTGAACACAATTTTTCGATAAAAATGTGGATCTTCCTCCAACTTTGCCAGCGCCCATTCACCAAATTGGAAACGTTGTGGGAGGTCGTGTGGCTTCAATTCTTGCACCAGCTGTATCTTATAAGGTTTTACACCCAAATCCTGTCGCAAAATTTTCCACGTAGTGGAGTAACAGAGGCCCAATTGCTGCGAACGGCGGCGAATCGACATTTCACGGTCATAGTCACAAGCTTCCGAATAGCTCCCTCAGTAGGCCGACCAAATTGCCCATAAATTGGAAGCAGTGCTCGATGCACTCTCTTAACCGAGCATGAATTTTGATAGTAAAATTCAATAATTTTCAAGCGTTGTTCGTTCGTAAGTCGATTCATGGTTAAATTATAGACCAAACTGAATAAGTTTGATAATGACACAAGACACGATTCACGCGTCATCTGTCAAAAACAGTGTTGCCAAAAAGATACTAGCAAAAAAATCACCCATTAGTTTCAACACAGCGCAACGCACGTGGATCTTCCTGTGTCCGGGGTCTGAGCTATGCCTGACCGACAGTAGCAGGCGAGATTAGACATAGTAACGTTGCCAGATCGTCGGTGCTGTAGGTAGCGCAAGGGAGAAATGAGTGGGAAGTATGAACTAATTGAATGTATCTGTTGGACTGATTAAATGGGTTCAATGATTTTGTTATACATGTTCGTAGCTAACTTTTGTATCAGAGGGTCTAACTTGCGCCGAACATATGAACTGATGACTACGTAACATGAGAAGTATAGAGTTTTAACATACTTGATGGCATTTTTTATAAACACACAGTTAGGACGGCAACACCTGAATATAATGGAAAACTGCGTCTGCCCTAAATGGTTTAAGGAGCCTATTGGCATAAGGTTGGAGA